AACCACCAGAACTGTTAGAACGGTCAGAACTCGTAGAACTCTAAGAACGCAGATAACGCATCGCTAAGACCATAGCTGTAATATTATTAAAGTGTACGTAAAGGCAACCAGCGACTTCATTAAACTTAATTCCATTTGGAAACATCGCGCATATACAGATTCCATTCGTTAGATGGAAATCAAGATAAAATTCCATCGATTCGTTAACGACACCTGGCCATCGAAGTCAACGTAGGTATACGGAGAAATTAATATTCTCGGTTATTTCGGAGATAATTGACAACGGACAAATTCCACCGAACATCAACGCGAAATAAGTGATAGGGCGAAAGGTTAAAAATTCTCGATTCGACCAGCCCCGTCATCGATTATTCCAGGACCGGTGGATGTAGGTCGGCGTTACAACTCCTTCGTGAATGCATTCGACTTGGAGAAGTATGCGATTCTACCCGTTTCGAGCGAGCCCGGCGTCATATCGACGTCTCGGTTATTTATACACCGCCGATTTTATACCCTTGCACCTGCGGGACTAATATCTCGATGTGTGTATTTCGGGAGGACAGCCTGTACTAATATCGCTCGCAATTTTGAGGGAGAAGAAGAGAGGGAGAGGGGAGAGACCCTTCGACCTTTGAGAATTCTCACGTCCGAAAATTCTACATAGCGAGTCACAGAGATCGATTTACTCGAGTTCCAGGCGATGATTGTAATCGTTTCACGGCTTGCAATGACGTACTCGCGTTTTATCGAATATCGTCCACCGTTCGAGATCTCCCGGATAGTGGGTGCGCCTCGCATGACGATAGAGTACACACGAACGATAAGCAATATCGAAGCGACCAGGGAGCTCCGAAGCAAAGAGAAGTCGGAGAAAAAGGCACGCGTGTAAATTGAATACTCGCTACGTGGGTAGGGTTGGATACGATTACATCAGAGGAAACGACGGCGACAATTCGCTGCCCGCTGATTCGAAACGAATGCGTTCCCGCGGATTTTTTGGGGATCGAGGGAACGCTTCTCCGTATCAGGATAACCACAAATTCGATCCGATCGGATCCGATCTGGGTCACGTCGAAGAACGAAACACGATCGCCGACACGGCTAGATACGCGAACCCGCGTTTAATCCGTGGAACTGGACCGAGCAAAACGGGAAAAATACCGATCTGTACCGCAGCCCGCACCGAACTGTCTCGAACGATCTTCTGGCAGACCAACAAAGTCGAACGATCTTCTGACAGACCAACAAAGTAGAACGATCTTCTAGCAGACCAACAAAATCGAACGATCTTCTAACAGACCAACAAAATCGAGCGATCTTCCGGCAGACCAGCAAAGTAGAACGATCTTCTAACGGACCAACAAAGTAGAACGATCTTCTAACAGAGCAACAAAGTAGAACGGTCTTCTGACAGACCAACAAAACCGAACGATCTTCTGACAGACCAACAAAGTAGAACGATCTTCTAACGGACCAACAAAACCGAACGATCTTCTGACAGACCAACAAAGTGGAACGATCTTCTAACAGACCAACAAAATCGAACGATCTTCTGACAAATCAACAAAGTCGAACGATCTTCGAGCAACTAACAAAATCTAGCGGTCATCTCGCAATTAGTAAAATCGAGCGATCTTCTCAAAATTAATAAAGTCGAGCGATCTTCTCGGAACCAGCAAAGTTGAACGATCTCCTGAATCGAGCGATCTTGTTGCATCCAACAGAATCGTCCGAGCCTCTTAATTTACAGGCGAAGAATCTTTCCGATCGCGTAAAGAGTAACGAATGTAAACACTCGCCAGGTGAACCCGGGGAATCGTGTATTCATTGTTATCGTTCCCGAACTGAGAAAATCAACGATTCGCGGCCGATCGCGGCGATGTGATAAAATACGATAGGGATTAGTCATTGATAACCGGGAGCCTTTATCGAGCTGCTTCGCGGAACGTTCGAACGAATTTCAAGACTTTTCCATCGATCCTGTTACGTCTCGCCCAGTTCCAGTCGAACTTAACGCGGCCGATTAGATAAAACGATCCAAACGATCGCTGCGAGGATCACGAGCCGCGATGAACTTTCAGTGAAAGCCACCCACGAATTTCCCATCCGTTTCCTCTGGTCCCTGACACCGAGGCTCCCACTGCTCGTTACGCATCGATACCAACGAGATCTCGTTCAACGAACGACGTTCAACCAACGGTATTAACGATGGAAAATTAGGGGGCAAAATGATAATCAATGAGAATATGCATGCATCTAGTCATTATGAGACTCACTCGAAGCTACGGCGGGCCATTGTCTCTCGCCGCAGCGTGAATACTAACGAGACGAAAACTCGTTAACTTTTTCTCGGCCGGTTCTCTATCCCCAACGAACAATCCAGCCGAATCATCGCTCGCTTTTATTTAATTATCGGACACTATAGAGTGTGAGAGTGGATTCCCCGGCGCACGCAAACGCCGGCCGTCTTTGTTTTCGACGGTTAATATTGTTTTCGCGCCAACATGCCAACAACCTATTCCTTATCGTGGCTGTCGCAGAGGCCCCGTCGCTAATCGAACGGTTAATTTCTACTAATCAATAGTCGCAACGATAAACCGCGGTTTGCAAGACGCATGCACGAAATGGTAGGAACTTTTTTTTACAATTAATCTGGCGCGTGTTGACGCGGTTGCGCTGCCAAGTCCGCGAAGAAACGGCCGAAGGAGGAAAAACGTTCCCCGAGATAATTTCGGTTTCGTTAATTGGAAGTAGAGGAACAAAGGCAAATCTGTCTACGATTAAACAGCGATTGGCTAAATGAAATATAATGCTATAGACTTCGCGAATAATGAAACGAACTTAACACTGTTTTCGCAGATATTTTGTGCGTATACGATTTACCGTTATCAAATTAAATTTGTGATCGTTAAGTTAAATCGTTAATTGAACGTTGAAAAGTCAATCGGAGAAGACTACTGATCGAACTTAGGAAGTAACTTTACGTTACAATTTTTAAAGGTCTTTTCACCGTCTTCGGTAAAAATAGTATTAAATTATAATTTTAATGCACCGAATAGCGTTACAGATTCTTTGACATTTTTAATTCCCACTTATTTATGGTCACGGCCTTGAAAAAAAAAGAAACATTGCAGGTAGGCAAAGGGTGGACCGTTGCCGTATCGCCTCTTTTTCAATACCGGAAGTGCGAGAGGATTTTCGGTGGATCGGTTAAACTTGGCCTCCGTCCAACCGACGGTCATCCGTTCTAACCCAAGTATGGCAACGATTTCGTAGCAAAGCCACAAAAAACATCGTTCGTCACCGTCACCTCGACCGTTTCTTGTCTGTATATTGACCTCTCGCGCGATTAATCGCCGCCAAGAGCTTCCCGATTAAGCGTTACTTTGTCTTCGGGCGCGAAGACAAAAAAAAGAAAAACATACCTACGCAAATTCTATTGAAGATGAAGAATAAAACGTAAAATGCGCGGCATCGGTTTACCGTGTATGCGCGCGGAAATTCAGACATTCGAATTTCTCGTGCACTCGAAAATGCGAGTTCGAAGCAATAATATTCCCAGCAGTAATACATGCGAACCGATTTTGTGTCAATGTTTCCCCACCGCGTGCCACATAGTGGCTAGAATAAGTTGCAGATTAAATGCTAGAATGAATTATAGATATACGAGGGTCATGATCCGTCGAGAAATTTTCGATCTCATTAGAATTGACGTGGACGAATGCACGCGGCTCGTAATCTCAAATTGCACGAGCGACACTATTCGACAAGATATGCGAACTTACGTGTCGATGATTTCCCGAATTGCACGTGCATCATCGAAAATCAAACGCCACCGGGACGTTCAAATTGTGCGCCCGCCATTGACGTTCGAGGGTTATGGCGTTCCCATAACACCGATTTTCTACGGCAAATTGGAGTGCATGCGCGTTCGAACAATTATACCGAGCTTTCCCATTTAGAATAGACAGGTTTGCGACGTAAGAGGGAAAATTTTAATGCCCCGAAACATTATCTTACGTGCCGTAAAATGCTCCGCGACGTTCGACTACGATGACCGCGAAACCACCATAAGTGTGGAACCGCGAACACCGCGGAACTGGCGGAGTTTGAAAATCGGCGCGCGAAACGTCGCACGCACCGGTCCGCGTGCGCTTCACCGGCCGAAACGCAGAAATAAAGATGATTCTCACTCACCATTTGATTCAGATAAGGATTCTGCTTGTCCCAGCGATATTCCTGAAGCTGCAAGGACTCGTAACGTTGTTTTTTACCCAAACGATGACGCGAGTGTCTCACGACCGATATTGCCACAGCTGGGCCCATCCGGCCATCTTGCCGTATATCAAAACGTGTACTATACTGCGCTGGCGTATTTTGCCGCTCGCCCCTGTCTCTTTCTCCCTCCTACCCTCGGTACTCTCACGGTAATTGCGTAACCGGCTGAGACACTTTCTGTGTTTCTGTCCTCGTCGGGACGACTGCACGCTGCTACGCTCCATTTCTTTCTGACACAGTCACCAAAGTGCATCGCCGGCGGCGCTACGAACGTTCGAATAATTTTCAAAAACATCGCGCGGTTTACAAACAATACAATACTGCGTGCTAACGTGGTGCTGCTATCCGACCTAGAGTCGCAAAGGTAATCGGAGCAAGTGCAAATCTTCGGTCGACTCGACGTCGTTCGCGCGTACACCGGTCACTTTCAATTCCCTGTTCACTGTTTATAGTTTTTTCTTGTAATCAGTGACAGCGAGGCGATTTCTCGAACACGTATTTGCATAAGAACTGCTTTGTTATTCTCTGGTGAAAGTTTGAATGCTTCGAAAGTTAGTACGATCGCTTGCCGCTGCTGGCGCTACTCTACAGGGTGGTTTAATCGCGACTAAACATTTGAATTTTTTGGACTCGAATTTCATTTCGAAAAGTATTAGAAAGATAGATTCGACGGAATTATGTGATGATTGTAATGTTTACGAATTAGTAGAACGCGATACGTGTAAAGATTGTATAAAATCGTTTTATTCAATACTGAGAGTAATGAAAAAGGCAATATTTCACGACTTGATATTTACATAATATATAACTAACGTATATATACAATTAACAATATGTACAACGTTCGACAAATTGGTCGAATTAACAAAATAAATTAACTACTGCTGAACCAGTCGCTGCCCATTGCTCCGAAAAACGCTGCCGCACCAGACTTTATTGTAGCTCCCGTGGAATCATTTTTTATGTTTTCCTTACCAGTAACCTTCTTTCGCTAAAACGAAACAAAAAGTTGTTTAACAATGCGTTCGTATTTCCTTTCCTTCGGCCACAACTGTGAACACAGACGGGTGTTAGATCAATCGAGAATGTTATGTAGGTAACTCAGAAAAAACACAAGAAATTCTCCTGTTAAAAATTAGTCAAATGAAAACTGCCATGCAATATACTTCTCTTACCGCAACTCAATGCACGATATATCTTATCAGTATGCACTGGAAATCTAAGAGTACATACATGAAAAATAATTTATAGAAAATCACAGTGAAATAACTAGGGAACGTAATGATCTCATGATGCTTACAAAATGCATAACAGAAGCTTGAAATCTTTTGTTACTCTGTATGTACCTGTAATTTTTCTGGTATCGTTACAGGCACCAAAGGCAAACTCCTTGCTGGTGCAGTCACTGTCAAAGATGGAAACCAGGGTGCACCGTTGCATAGTGCTAACACCGTAGGCAAATCTGATTTCACACCCTCGGTATTACTGTATTCGTTTCGTGCACCCAAAATCGAATGAAGCTGTTCTAAATGGGGCACTAGATTTCCAAGTATTATCTAAACAATGATAAATAAATTAAAGCTTTAATATACATTGAAGTAGTCGAAAACTTTTTTACGAATTCTCACCAGAGATCTTTGAACGCTTCTCTTCACGTTAGTATGAATAAACGGATTAAAGACATCGTAATCGAATGGGTCTATTTTCGACAGTACATTGTCGCAGGCTTTCGTAGATAAATCAGAGAAAGCTTTATTTTCTCGTGGCACCATTAGCAGGGTACAATATTTAATATCAAACAGCACTTGGAGCGCTTGTTTTTGCGAAAGATTTGCACTCTCACACGCAGCAATATAGTAGTTTAACAACTCCATAGCAATATCTTCTATAATATCGTGTAGTATCTTCCTACAATTAAAACACGAGTGAAAGAGATTCCGTTTATGAAAGAGTGAGTAGTTGTACTTACTTTGGAACAGTATGCGGTATTATTTTATTCAAATCTTTGCTAACTGCAGTTAAGAACTTTTGTAGCTGTATAGATGGCTGATATGGGACTAGAATCTCCGACTTTATCCTTTTACCCTCTCCAGAATCTTCTTCAATGGTTACTTTCTGCCATTCTGAAATCACCACGTGTATTCGATAACCATCCAGTGGTTCTTTGGATATGTGTCTTTCTCTATGCTCAATTATTTTAGCTTTATACGCGCTGGCCCAAAATGACCACACAGATGTACTGTCTTCTTTCAGTTTGTCGCAAATCGACTGCCATTTCGCATTCGTGATAGTCAGTCCAGACACTTTCGAAAGCGTAAAACATTTGTTTAAGTTCGAGCTGAGGGTTGTCAATGCCGAAAGTAATCTGGCCATTACAACAGCGTTTATATCGCGCTGACCATGTTCGGGCTTATCATTAACGCATGCGGTTTTCACAAAATTGATGAAGTCTTCTATCATAGTGGAACTGATCATTTGCAGATGTTCCTGGATTTCTGAGCGATCGGAGAATGTGTCGGAAATTAAGGATATATTCGTAGACAATAGATTATCTTTGATAGACATTACGCGTTCGGTCTCGTATAGATATTGTTCGAGATCATGAAGCAGAGCTTGCAAGCCTGCATCAAAGTTGTCGCATAATTTGAGAACATTGGGCGAATATCCCTTGGTTTTCATTAATAAGGACCTCCTGCCATCGAGTCCACCATTTTTGTTAAGCTTTTGAGGAATATCATTGGGAGAATCCTTCCAAACGAACCATCGCAAATCATGTTCCGGATATTCAAATTTATCGTTCATTGCTTTATTGAGTAACTCCACCACGTCGGCTTTCAATTTAGTTATCGTTTCCATCCACTTGTCATTTATAATATCTAAGAAAGTAATCATAATTTTATATTAAAAAATAAAATGATAATTCTATGTTACACATACTTTTTGCTCTTCGAGATATGATAGGTTGAAAGAATTCCACCCAAAACGTGATCCTAGGCAAAGACAATTCTTCCCAAATAGAATTCCAATTATCGGGAAGATTAATGCAAACTGCTTCTTCACGAACGTAATATAAACCTTTTATGGATACTATTAAGTCCAATAACTTTGTGACCTCTCGATTACAAAAATCAACAACCCATTCTAACCAGGACTTAACACTCTTTTGCAAGTTAGGTATAACAAAGTTGCCGGCATTGTCCTGGAGGAATGGTTTATGCTGTTTTGTTACAGACGGTAGAAATTCTTTCAGCAATTCTTCATTCACATCCAACTGAGAAAGCAAAGAATATGCTTCCTGATCCTGAATCTTTGCTATGTACTGCAGAACAAGACCACCAGACTTGTTCTCTGTGTCTAGAATAAACAACTCGCTTAATAAAGTATACTTTATAGACATAATAAACTAAACATATATATAATTACTTACTTATGAAACATGAATACATCAGGTTAACTGTTTGAATTAATATTTTAATGCATAATTTGATTTTATTCTTAACACTGCTGTCATTTTCATCTGTGATAATGGATTTAATAGCATGACTTCGCATGGATATCAACATGCCTAATAAGTCTGAGAATGAAGTTCCATTTATTAGCACAAGTGCAGCTAAACAATTTGCTGTACTCTAAAAAAGATAATGTCTTCAATGATGTAATCCACATTATATATTTGAATGAATGCTGACCTCTGGTTGCACTTCCAATGACTGCAATATATGATTGCATTCGGTAGTTATAATATTTTTAAACTGACTAATAACATCCCATTGTTTGGAAACAATTGGATACTTGTTTGACAAGTCAGCACCTCCTACTTCAAACAATAAACTATAATTTATATGTTGGGCTACTAAATACAGCTGTGTGGCAAAAAATAAATTCTTGTTTTCAATATTGGACCAAATATGCTGAGGAATGTCCATTAATATTTTTATTTGAATAACAATTGAACTCTGAATTCCTTCTATAGATCTAAAAAGAAATTATTTAAATAAAAACCTTAAGAATTTGATACATTAAAAAGAGAAGGTAATAGATATACCTATCATTCTGATTCTTAGTCGGATCAATTTTAAAACCAATTAGATACTTCTTCTGCAGTTCTCTGAATTTATCTTCAATACTAACAATTCTTGAAATGACACGTTCAGAAGTTATCTTCATTTTCCCAATTGTATCAGCTGCCAATATTAAATCACGGTACCTTTCCCTAAAAACATCCAATTTTCGATTAGTCACAGATTAATTCAGTAGCATAAAAATAACCTTATAATAGAACGAATCCTTTAGACACGATTAATTTGTGTAACATGTTGGCAATATGATAACCGGAGAAAGAAAACGTAGATATAGTAAACGACAGCAAATTATTGGAACAAACGTTACCCAACAAGAGTTCGTAGCTCAATTTTCTTTCTGTCACTTTCGTTTTGAATTTTCTTTTGGATTCCTTCAATTTCCTTGATCGTGAAGTCCTCGAATAATTTGTTGATGTCCAAATCCAAATAATTCGTGGTCGTCATTTTTGTAACAAGCTTGTTTTTGTGTTTTCAGAGCCCGGTTCTTCCCACGTAGCACAAAGTCAACAGAACCATATTTTTCATTATTATCAACTACACTTCTATTGTAGATGTAGTACAATTTGTGTTACAGTGCTTCAAGGGGCTTACACCGTCATCTATGGTAAATTTTTTAAACTACTTTCCCATTAGTATCAGGCCTCGCCAGTTAGATGGAGCAATCATTCGTGTTTCAATGCGAAAGCTATTTCAAGCTGAGGGTGTTTATAATTTCTGTGAGTGAAACATTAATAAAGGTATACATTCACATCTCCTCTGTACATTTATAAAAAGCTAAGATTGGCAGTTATTGATACACCTTATTAATTTAAAATTTAGATACACTCAAAATCAATTTTGCCTTTGTGAAATGTATTAGTTTCCTCATTCTTCGTACCATGTTAATACATGCATAAAGAACAAAGCGTATGTGTTGTGATGATGCATATTTCTTCTGAACATAATAACTGGGATTTACTCGTGAATTCCTCATTGCATATTTCTTCTGAACATAATAACTGGGATTTACTCGTGAACTCTTCATTGCGCATTGTTTAATTATCTTCTAAATATAAATACAAATTTATATTCATTTCTTATTACCTTCTCTAGTGTCATGGACGAAGGCGTACGTACTCTATGGTGTGGGAATTTGAGCGAGAAAGTAACAGAGGAAATTTTGTATGAATTATTCTTGCAGGTTTGTGCATTCGAACAAATTTGTAACAAAAACTTCGAGAAATGTTTGATAAAAGACAAAAATTATTTTTTGGACCTTATATATTTTCGAAAATATTTATATGCATTCAATTTTTAACGTGACGTCGAATTATCAGTATTTTGTTAACAATATCGTTTTATATTTTCTGCAATGTTATAGGGTGGTCCGGTGCAAAGAGTTTTCATTCCTAAAGATCGCGATGGAAAGCAGAGAACGTTTGGATTTATAACTTATAAACATATTAATTCTGTAACATACGCTTTGAACCTTTTTGATGGCACGAAACTGTTCAATCGTGCTATTTGCATGAGCCCAAGGAATAACGTAGACTCACCACAAAAAGCAAACACACAGGATCAATATCTTAATTGCAATCATTTACTTCAGTCAGGCCAACAAATGTTGCTAAGAAACGGTTTTCCTCGTATACAACTTGAAATGTTTGGAACAAATATGTTGCCAAATTCTGGTCCTCATTCTAAGCAAATAGATAGTCATGCTTATCATGACAATAGAAGACCCTCGAAAGTACATCCTTATCGAAGAGAGCAAAGTAAAAGTAATCAACGCAAGGATCATAGATCTAGAAATACTCATAACAATCACAGATCAAATGATTATACTAGAAGAGATTATAGTAGTAGTAGTAGACGCAATTATCGTTAATGTCTTGAAATATATAAAACCAGTGGAGTATATATTATTTTCTATCATTATAAACAATTTCAAGTAATTTGAAAGCTCACATTCAAAGCATTCAATGATTGTTAATTCTACATTATTTCCCTTTGTAGTTATTTAGAGTAATAATACCACATCTATTTTTTATTACAACATATATTTTATAAAATCAGAATTATTTAAATCTAAGTAAACATTTGATAAAAAAATAATTATTTTCATCTATTGAAGTACTCGCTGTATTTATGATAATAATTGTGTGGTTTATAACATTTTTTATAATTTGTGTCATGCTCTACATTTTGTTTAAATGTACGCGCAGCTTTCTCGGTTAGCATTAAAACTGCAGCATTAATATTACCACTCGGCAACGTCGGTAGTACAGATGCGTCGATCACATACAGATTTGTTACACCGTAAACTCTACGAAGGACAAAGTTTGTGAAATCTATACCATAAATAATATTAATTAAGAAAAGGTAAGGTAATGGGAATTACCTAAACTTCTGGTCAACAACATTACCCATACGGCATGTCCCAGCAGGATGATAAGAAGTTAAAGTTAAATGTTGTATGTAACATTCCCAATACTTTTTACTATCAAAGTTTTCATTTTCACAACCAGGAAAATGTTTTTCATAAATAGATGCACCAATGGATTTCATAACACTCGTTTGAACGAGTTTTTTCACAAATTGTAATCCTGTGAAATCGAGTATCATATGTTGCAATTATGTCTTACACATTTTACATATTCTACTAAAATTTAATCAATCGTAGTACCATCGATAAGAAGTGCAATGTCGTCCTTATTTGTTAAGTACTTTGGATTAATTAACGGCGGGTCGAAAGGATTGGTACTATTTAATTTAACTTCTCCTGTACTTTTCGGATGTAGTAGAACTGGGGCAATTGTTACAGTATTCTTATAGGCAAGAGGAGCAAAGTAATCGTTGTAAATCTGTATAAATCGTATAAGAAGTTAATATTAAGCTAATATCAATAAATACTTTATAAAATATCTTCCTTAAAACCAACCTCATCTGAAATTCCTAAAGCTCTTCTTAAAACAATTCCATTATCCTTTGATAATCCAAGTGGCATCACCATTATCTGTAAATCTGGTGCACTTGATACATTTTTTTTTAAAGAACTATAAAATGTTCCTAAAACTTCAACTCCTGCAGATGTCCAAGGACCTAAATATAATAAAAAAAATGTCTTAGTAAACATATAATAACAATTGTATAATAGCAATTAATTTTACAGATTAAAATATACCTTCTTCAAAAAGAAAGTAGTTTATTGCTGATCTAAGACTTAAGGTATCTGCCATATTAAAACCTATGGTTTCATTAAGAATAACTAAATCAGTCCCTGTGAGTATATGGTCTACTAAATGCTGACCCACTGGTAAATCTTTGACAACATTTATCTACAAAATTTAACAAATTAGTATAGTATAAAAATATAGTAACATATGTATTTATTCAGAGATTACCTTTAAGTCTTCTAAATGTTTTTTTGGACCAATTCCAGATAACATTAATATTTTAGGACTACCAATAGCTCCAGCACTGAGAATAACACCTCGTTTTGCAATAGCTTTAAATACTTTATTTAGGGACATAAATTGCACTCCCACTGCTTTCTTTGACTCTATCAATACCTATAATTAAATACTAGTTGCATTGTCACAATTTATTAACTAAAATATCAATATTACTTTTAACATACTTTTTCAACATGAGCATGAGTAATAACATTCACTCTGTTTTGAACATTTGTGTGCAATAATTTGTCAGTACTCCACCGTTTACCATTTTCCATAGACAACTGTGGTTTCATAAAACCTGCATCAATAACATTATCAAACACTAATATTCATTGATAGAGCAACCTTTTGATAATAGAAAAATTACCAATTTTTAACTCCTCATTGATGTTACCAATGGATTGATGTAACTCTTCCAATCCTTTCAAGATTATATCAGAGAGATTAGTATTCCATTTCAGGGCATTTATATTCATTGGACCACCATTCTGTTTAGTAGGTTCTACGAATATTTATCTATTTAAATAATAATAAAAATTAATAATTAATACTAGATTTTCATGCTTTTTATAACAACCAATGAAATCTGGAAGCCAATCACTATAGTCAAGGGGATGTCCACGTACATAAAGCATGTAATTTAATCGACTAGTTCCGCCAAGAAGTTTACCCATTGGCCATCTGCTTTGCTGAAAAATAAATTCATAATTACATACAGAAATAATTATTATATGCTACAGATATATTCATTAAATGCAATACATTGTTAACTAAACCCTTGCAAGCATTTTGTTGAGGTACAGTAGTGTATTGCCAGTCATATGGACTATTTTGAATCAAAGGAGCTAAAAGTGGAATATCAAGAAAGGGTGGTGGAACTCCACCGGCTTCAAGGAGTAAAACCGTGTACCCATATTCTGCTAATCTTGCAGATATAGTTGCTCCTGCAGTACCAGCTCCAACTAGAAAAATATAATTTAAATTTTTCAAATAATTTATTAGCTTCCGCAGATCTACATTTCTATATAAAATATATGGATAAAATTGATAACAATACGTAACTTACCGATGATGTAATCGTACACCTGTAAATCATTGATACCATTAAAAAATTTATATGAAAAAATATCGAGAAAGTATGTAAACCGAAGATAATTAGAAAATATAATAGCTACAGTACTAGTTACCGCAAATATAATAAAGTGCTGCAATGCGAGCATTTTAAAATCATACTAATAATTGAGGTTATGGTACGAATTTCTTATCATGAAATCCTATATGGTTCTAAAAGCTGGTACGAAAACGATTTCAACTTTACTGCTCAGTCATGAATTGCAGAACAATAATGACGTTAACATATGCGCATAAGAAATAAAAGTGTTCTTATAAAAGAATATAAAATGATTTATTTAAATTGGATTTTGTACATTGTAATCAAGGTATACATTCAGTTGCAACAGTAATCGGCCACGTCACAGGACCTTTCAATACTATATCGTCAAATAGAATCTTGTAATCAAGGTATACATTCGGTTGCAACAATCGGTCACATCACAGGACCTTTCAATACTATATCATCCAATAGAGTCTTGTAATTAAGGTATAGATTCGGTTGCAACAGCAATCAGCCACGTCACAGGACCTTTCAATACTATATCATCCAATAGTCTTAAAATTAAGGTATAGATTCGGTTGCAACAGCAATCGGCCACGTCACAGGACCTTTCAATATTATATCGTCCAATAGAGCCTTAATTTTCATAAATTTTCGTTTAAACTCCAAACCACAACCTTTAGATAATCTGAAATCAACTAGTATCTTTCCATCCATTTCAACAATATTAGCTTTGAAAACAAGAGGCATTGTTCTTCTATCTTTACTTGATATGGTAATCTGTAAAGAATTATTAAATTAACAATTTATAATAGTGCACAATAATACTACAACAGTTAGTTGAAATATTTATTGTGGAACTTACTGTGCGACAATCGTTGATACGACAGGTATAACTTTCATTGTTCAAGCAATTCATTAATCTGTTTACGGTTGTTTCTAACGGCGTTGTAACGAAAAATCTGGTCATTCTTCGCACCAGGCGTTGATAAGTATTTTGCTGTAAACGCATAAATAAATTATAATCATTGTTAAATATATCGACCCTTTTATGTAAAAATCTTCAAAGAAATTGTACAACCTGGCTTGCTTGTGTAAGTTGCTTATTTTGTACTTGAGTGCATACTAATAAGTCTTCTATATGAGCAGGTTGCGAGAATGAAAATCCTGGTTGTTCTTCTAAATTGATTTCTACAACATTATTTTGTACCCTAGGTAATTCAGGCTGGGACAAACAGAATCTCAAGTTCTCATCTTTTAACATTTGTGTTGAGTCCGTTTCGTCAGGGCGAATATATCCCTCTATAATACCAATTAAAGTGTAAGACAGACAGGAAAAATATTGTCCATTCGATTAAATTTTTAAGAATATAATATGGTAGAAGTTAAAATGTAAATTTCTGATATTTATACTGGATGCTCATGCCAATGCTCTTTGCTTTGGTAATCTAGCTTTATGATCCTTAATTGAAATCATAGAGCTGTATTACCAAAGTAAAGGCAAAAGCTTTGATAATCTTGAAAAGTGTAAGTTTCACTCTTAATTTGTATGTTTAATGATATAAATTGAAAATTAATATACCAAATACTTGCAAGTGCGTCAAAAACTGAGTGTTTTTAGTATCCACTGGGTTAGGTACCAAGCTGCTTTGAGTAATCGAATACACACTCAGAGATACTTAGTACCTGACCAAGTAAATACTTATTTCATCATACTCACGGATGCATCATACAAACTGTTAAATATACGGAAGAAAAATAATGTAGTATTATCTAGAACGAACACATACCTTCTTGTATAATTTTGACGAACCATCTGTGTTGCTTAATATCTCTGATGGTATATCTGGATGATGGCAGATGCATAAGAACATTTCTAATCAGAGACAACGAAGAAGTATCTAACTTTCTCCATGGTGTGAGAGACATATATTTTCCTTCTTTCCATGCCATATATTCTTGACAATCTGCCGAGGACTGAGCCCAAGGCAGTTCTACAGTTCAGATATGGACCAGTTAAAAACTAAGAAATGTAAGTTACTCATTAGCGACCTAAACCATCAGACTAAAAATGACAATGATCTGCAGTTTGCATATGAACCTGTTGTTAATTTTTTTTTCTACTGTATTTCAATTTACTAATTTACTCAAACTCTACATTGAAACCAGGGGAAATTATGAATAAAATATTAATATAAATTATTAGTAAGCTGTTTGTATAGACACATATGTCTTAATATAGATTACCTCCAGTTAACAAAGTGACAAGAATTATACCACATGACCATATATCTGCAGGTTCTGCATAATAGCGTGGTACAAATATTTCTGGAGCAAGATACGGCAATGTTCCACATCTTTTTTCCAGACACCGCTCTTTGCCTTGATATTTATATATTGTTGCCATGCCAAAATCAGAGACTTTTAAATTATCATTTTCATCCAATAGCAAATTTTCTGGCTTCAAATCTCTGTGTGCAATTCCTTTACTATGCAAATATTCAACTGCAGAAATTAATTGTCTAAAATACTTCTGTGCTTCCCACGCTGGCATACCAATATCAGGATCTGTTTCATTGAGAAAAGTATTTATAGTTTTAAAACTATCTTTTTAAAATTAAATTGAAGAAGCAACTCTCTTACCAATTCTATCAAAAAGTTCTCCACCAGAAGCATATTCTAAAAATATATATTCCATATTTGGTTCGCTACGCTTTCCAAAATATTGTATAATGTTGGGGTTAGATAATGAACGGTGAATAGCACTTTCTTTGCGGACTGTCTGTCTAGCATCCGAGTGCTTGCCTAAATCTATCATTTTCATGGCAACTGCCTCTCCGGTAGTTTTATTTAAAAGTAACTTTACCCTGAAAGGATTGAATTGAATGTTTTAAATAAAAAAATATTTATTGAATATATAGTTTATCTGCTGATAAAGTCACTATTAAGAACTAAGATACCTTGTATAAATGTTCGAAATATAAAAGTATTTTGAGTATGGTAACAAAATGAATGTAAAATATTTAAATTAATAAATTCGTATTCAATAAACTCTAAAAGTGTAAATAATTTATTCTAACGAAAATAGAGTAAAAATTGATTGTTTTAAAACAATTTAAAGTGGAAAAGTTCTGCAAACGTACTCGCCATAAGCACCTTCCCCTAAAGTGTGTCCAAATATCCAGCCTTCCACAAATTCCGTCATCCTGTATCAGCATACCTTTCCACGATGGTGGCAAGAATCTTTGTTCCCTAATCAATGCTCCCTCGACTGCCGGTTATTTAAAACGGCAAGTTCAACTGTGAGCAGAAAGATAAAAAAACAAAATAAAACACAGAAAATAGGTAGTACCATTAACAACAATTTAATTTTCATAAGATGCTTACGTTAAATCTTTTTTTCATAATAACGATCGACCTTCCGGAGCACGTGGTTTTAATAGCTACGATAAACCATCGTGCTTCTTCTGACGAAATGAAATACTTTCAATTTCGTTCTTAATTCAAATTTTGTTAACAACTTCGTTTGTATTATTCTGCTTAATAACGTATTCGCGAGTAAAATAGTTAAAGATTAAAATATTCGTTTCTTAACAGACGTAACATAACTGTTAGGAGAGAAAGTATGAGATGATACAAGAGTCGAGTGACTATATACAACTCTACATATATGTATGTATGTAGATACACGGCGAACTGCGCGCACTCTCCTAAAACTCTAGGTAGAAAATTGTTACACTCTTATTGGTCGATCACGAACTTTTTAAGAACTTTGAAATCCCTACTTCTTCGATATGGTTTTAATTAATTTCAGCATTTGTATTATTTTTTAAAATAAATTCGCAAGTAAGTGCTATTGTTTATAGTGATCATAGATTTTTAATTAATCAAACCGCGTATGTTACTTCTTTCAATATTCCTTCGAAATTTCTGCACTGTTGGTGACTTCGTCTAGTAATTTACTAGAAATAATATCCAGACATATGTAACTGATTTTTATTTTCAAAATGTACGTACAAGTATACAGATGTGTAATTACAAAAATTTGTTTATTCGTGTTACATTCACTTTTAAAACATACATCTTACAAGTATTACATTGTAACTAATAAAAGATACTTAGAGTATCTGATGAATATATTACAAAAGACCTTGTCGTTTCAAGTCTTCGTACGTTTTACGATTAACTACGTTCCCAAGAGAATCTTCGAACTCTTCTTCCTGCTCTGGCTGCCAGCGTTCGGCTTGTTTCTGAGCTTTAAGCTTTTCCCACAGAGCCAGAGCGTCTTCGATTTGCGTTACGTTAGCGAAATGAGCGGTATTTGGAATTCCGAGGCAGCGCATTCCATGTGCGTGTCTCCATTCGGCAAAATGTCTTTGGAAAGCTTTTGGTCCCTTGTATGTGAAGTTTCCGCATATTTCGCAATTGTAGCTGATATTTAATCCATGCAATTTGTACAACCAATACGGTATAGGTTTACCATCCCACCCGAGAGGAAGATTTTTAGGATTGTAAGGAACTTCGTTGTCATCTTCTTCCTCGGATTCGCTAGCGCTAGCTTCAGCATCGGAATCTCCTCTCTCACCTTCTGTTCTAGCTTGTTTCCTTTGTACATTTTCTTTTGTGGCCACTCGCTGAGTGGACACCAATTCCGCGAGCCTGTATACTTGTGCTTCCAAACAGGCTATCTCCTTTTGCTTTTCAGAATTTCTTCCCTTTCCAGATTTCCTATTTCTATTGTTCTTGGCTAGTAAATTTGGATCTAAAGAAGCCTCCCCTTTCGTACTGAAAAGTCTCTGGGCTCTCTCCTCGAGAGTACCGCCACATTTTAAACCCAAAGCCATCAAAGCCGATTTTAATCTATCCAAACCAAGAGACGCGAGCTCCTCCCATGATGAGAAAGCAGACAGTTCCAAATGAGCTCCGACATGAGTAAGAGCACTGCCAGTTTCTTTTGGCCATCCTGGGAACGTACTGTTTTCCCATTGCGTTTCGAATTCCCTGTTTGCCTCTTGAACCTCTCCGTTTAAGTCAAGCAAGGGTCTGACTCTACTTAAGTAATCTGTTGTATATTCTAACAAAGATTCTACGTATCTTTGATACTCAGCATTTTTCCTTTCTCTTGGTATATCAAACAAGTGATCAAAAGTTGATAAATATGTAATATAGTCTACTTTTTCTATTCCTTTGAGATTAATGTACTTCTCATAACATTCGTGAAGATCAAGGTACTTTCCATAACCTTCCTCATCAGTAAACTCAACAAGATTTGAAAGCTCTTCTGTTGGGTTTTCTCTCATTTTGGCCAGCTCTTCGAATTCAACGGACATTGGAATACTTATTTCGTTAGGATGTCTTCGGTAAAACTCTTTTATCGATTTCAAACGGGAATAAAACTCCGAAAATTCGTTTGGACCCGAAAGTGCTTGAACCTGAAAGAAATGAGTTACATCGAACAACAATATAATAATGAAAATTAGGACGATAAATTATATACCTCCTCTTTTCTTTGCCCATCTTTATCTTCGTACAAGTCTTGCAAATGCAAGGTACTGTCCATGTATTGATCAAGTAACATCTTTAATCGATGCTCCGAATTTATGCTCTCCCTGTGTCCTGCCTTTTTATAAAGCATTTCTTTTACCATCGCATCCATTAATCTCTCCCTTTCCTCGTGATAGCGTCGTTGTTGCTCTAATATCGTTTCCATATTTAAAGTTTGTATAAAAACACCAACTGTGTTACTATGTGTTACCAAGCTTTTCAGTTTACATTTGTATAGAGGTTATGATTTACTCAACCACAGATAATAATCATTTATAGATTTCATACCTCTATCCATGGATACCTCCACCTAACGGAAAATTGAAGAATATACAGTGATACAATAAAATTCTGTAAGACTAGGCCGCAGTGCGCACCGTTAGCGAAAGTGGGAGTAGAAATTGCTTTGCTCTAATTGACTAACGATTCAATGCTCTAAGACAGAATTCAATGCATTGAATTGGTTTAACGATAAATATAGAAAATAAATCTCGAAGACAGTTTTTGATTTAATTATCAAAATTGTATTAAAGTATGGAAAACATGATTTTCGCGCCCATTTGGTATATGACTAACATCCACGTGAAAGCGGATTGTATTTATGCTTTGAAACTTTTTCATTATCTCGAGTTGTGTTAATTAATTTTGTTTAAACATTAGATAGAAAATCTTACAATCATTAAACATCCAAAAACAATAAATTTATCAATAGAATATTTTCGATGTAACGATTCCTCGATAAATTCGTGCTTTAAAAATCACTTTGTATGTTTGACGTTATTAATTACTTTTGTTGATAAATGATACGACGAAATTAGCCACGGGAGTATTTAATAATATCATTGGCAAGAAGAATTCTCGTTAATATTATACAGCGAAAAGCAATCGATTTATCAACGAAGGAAATTATTACAATTATTATTAAACAGCTAGAAATAATAAATGTATAAATTCGTGCGACAAAAATTACTCTATATTTAATAATATCATTGGCGAAACGAATTTTCGTGAATATTAAACCTCGAGTACTCTTAGCTATATCTGTTTAAACATTGGACGATGAAACAGAGAGGAGAGCATTAGAAGCTGGTCTTTAGCAAAAGAATTTCTTATAATTATTAACAAACAGCTGGAAATAATAAATGTATGAATACAATATCTTTGACAAAACGATTCTTCGATAAATTCGTGCTCCCAGAATAGCCACGCGATTATTTAATAATATCATTTTCAATAAGAATTCTCATTAATATTAAACTTCGAAAAGAGCAAAATCAATTTATTAACGAAACTCGAAAATCTTAAATTACCGCAAATATTAAATCATTGGAAATAATCGAAATTATCAATATTATCGATCGCCGTCGATCGCGCGATCGTCGATCGTCAAAGTCAGTGGGGGGTTGGGGGGTGTGCCCTTCGTGCTCGCTCTGCTCAAAGTCGTTGATCAATCATTCGGAACTTGTCTAATGTGGGAATCAGTCGGGTTTCAAGAAAGCTCTTCCACAAGTGTAATTAAAATAAATTAAATTGTTAAGAATTAAGATATAATATAATTTTAAAGGAAAATTAGTGCGTTTAATTATAATAAGTTAAATTATTAAGAATTAAGATGTAATATAATTTTAAAGGAAAATGAAACTTTAATAACTCATCGACCGATTTGTGCAACCGTTGTTCTCTTGTTAATTAAACCTCGTTGATACTTTTCACGAACAATTTAAGTGATGAAATAATCTCTCGGGCACCGGGTAGTACTATTGCAAAATAAATTACCGCAAATATTAAATCATTGGAAATAATCGAAATTATTAATATTATCGATCGCCGTCGATCGCGCGATCGTCGATCGTCAAAGTCAGTGGGGGGTTGGGGGGTGTGCCCTTCGTGCTCGCTCTGCTCAAAGTCGTTGATCAATCATTCGGAACTTGTCTAATGTGGGAATCAGTCGGGTTTCAAGAAAGCTCTTCCACAAGTGTAATTAAAATAAATTAAATTGTTAAGAATTAAGATATAATATAATTTTAAAGGAAAATTAGTGCGTTTAATTATAATAAATTAAATTATTAAGAATTAAGATGTAATATAATTTTAAAGGAAAATGAAACTTTAATAACTCATCGACCGATTTGTGCAACCGTTGTTCTCTTGTTAATTAAACCTCGTTGATACTTTTCACGAACAATTTAAGTGATGAAATAATCTCTCGGGCACCGGGTAGTACTATTGCAAAATAAATTACCGCAAATATTAAATCATTGGAAATAATCGAAATTATTAATATTATCGATCGCCGTCGATCGCGCGATCGTCGATCGTCAAAGTCAGTGGGGGGTTGGGGGGTGTGCCCTTCGTGCTCGCTCTGCTCAAAGTCGTTGATCAATCATTCGGAACTTGTCTAATGTGGGAATCAGTCGGGTTTCAAGAAAGCTCTTCCACAAGTGTAATTAAAATAAATTAAATTGTTAAGAATTAAGATATAATATAATTTTAAAGGAAAATTAGTGCGTTTAATTATAATAAATTAAATTATTAAGAATTAAGATGTAATATAATTTTAAAGGAAAATGAAACTTTAATAACTCATCGACCGATTTGTGCAACCGTTGTTCTCTTGTTAATTAAACCTCGTTGATACTTTTCACGAACAATTTAAGTGATGA